ATGGCGTCCAAAGCAAGTGAAGTAGGAGCGCGCTCGCACAGACGTAAGTTTATCCATGTTAATCTCTAATGTGTGTTTGATATTATGCACTATTTTTGTATATTTTACCTAAAATAAGATTATTTGTTTGATTTGTGCCTATATTTATGGGAAACTTGCAAAATTCAGTACACTATAACCTCAAACATTTTTATGTCCTCTGCAAAGTACAAGGGTCGCAAATCAAAGTTTTGCATTACTAACTACCCACGTACTGTACAAAGTACATTGCAAAACTTTTATTTATGAGTTGTCACTTTTATTTCAGCCATGAATGATGAAAATATCGCTGACGCACTAAATGAATCTGAATTCGACTATTTGGGCGATGATTCAGATTGTGATCTGACCTTCAAACCTCCGGAACTTGACTGTCATGTTGTTGCAATTGGTGCTAATGATTCCGATACGGACATTACAGACTCGGATGATTCAGATAATGCTACTGAATCAGATTACCCTGCACCTTCACCTACGTTATCTACTGACTCCAGGGCTCCAAGGTCACGAGGAAGAGCACAAAGCAGACGACCAAGCAGAGGTCGTTCAGTTACAAATCCTCGTGTAATCACACTTCGCGGAAACTCTGAAAATGACAGTGAGTCACTAGATAAATGGTCAGCAGATGCGTTTGAGCCAGAAGCCAAAAGTTTAATGCAACCAGCTTACCTGGTCGTAGATTCCACTGATTGGGAGTGGCAATCATTCTACGAACAATATATTACTGATGACATCCTGACTACCATTACTGATTGCACAAATAGGACCAACATATTACATAAAGGAAAAACACTGGGACTAACAATAAAAGAACTAAAAGTTTTCCTTAGAATAACGATGGTTATGTCTGCCCTCCAATATCCCCAAATCAATATGTATTGGTCAGGAAAATACAGAGTGAACATTATTGCTTTAGCCATGACTCGAACCAGATTTTATGCTATCAGCACGCAATTAAAATGTGTATACGATGCTGATGTTACTCCGGAGCAGAAAGAGGAAAAAATCTGGAAAGTTAAACCATTATTTGATTGTATTTTGAATGGCTGCCATCAACAAGATCGTCCACAAGATATTTGCATCGATGAAATGATAATTCCTTTCACTGGGCGATGCCACATGCGACAATATTGTCCAAACAAGCCAAACCCAGTTGGCCTCAAAGTGTTTGTCCTTGCGTCACCACATATTGTATGTGATATGATAATTTATCAAGGAGACAAAACTTTTCCAGAGCTTAACTCTCAAGGGTTTGGATTGGGTGAATCAGCCGTCCTACATCTTACGCGAACTCTAGTCCCAGGGCATTCCCTATACTTTGATCGTTACTTCACCTCGGTGAAGTTGTGCGACGAATTAAACAAAAGAGAATTTCGTGGAACTGGTACTATACAGAGAGGAAGAATCCCGAAAGATTGTAAGTTGACGCCAGAAAAAGAATTCAAGAAACTGCCACGAGGTTCAAGTGAAGTGAAGGTGCGAGAAGACGGCCAACTTGCAATAACAATGTGGCTTGACAACAAGCCCGTGATGATGATGTCTTCTCTCTATAGCAATAAAAATGAAGATGACTGTGAGCGATGGTCAAAAAAGAAGAAAGGCTACGAAAGAGTGAAAAGGCCGGAAGTCATTAAAAAATACAATCAAAATATGGGAGGAGTGGACCTCGCTGATCGCATGCTGTCTGTGTGCCCCTCACGAAGCAGGACTATCAAATGGACTGTAAGAGTGATATCACATCTCTTTGATTTGGCGGTTGTCAATTCGTGGTTCCAATATCGAGCTACAGAGTTAGAAAAAAAAACACAAACAGGGCCCTTATATGGAAACTTCTAGATTATAAGCTTAACTTGGGTACCAAGCTGATTGAAGATAATGACACGGAGAGTGATAGCGAGAGTAATCCAGACCAACTGAAAGAGTTGGAACCAAAACATAAGAAGCGCAAAGTTATGATCAAACCAGTTCCATCCAAGCAAAGACGTCTTCAGAAAGCATCCCATATGCCTGATTATGGACCAAAGCAATCAAGATGCAGAAATAAATCTTGCGACAAAAAGACCACAGTCTTCTGCAAAAGATGTGAAGTGTACCTATGTTTCGTGCCTAACAGAAACTGCTTTGCAAGTTTTCATGAGATAGTTGAGGAATGATTTCTAATTTTGTTCCCCCCCCCCCCAAACCCCCAAAAAAAAAAGCCCCCACAAAAAAACCCACCAACCCCCAAAAAACCCCCCCCCCCCCCCCCCCCCCCCCCCCCCCCTTAAGGGGGTTGGGGGGGGGTTCCCCCTCTTTATAAAAAAAAAAAAAAAAAAAGAACCCCCCAAAAAAAAAAAAAAAAAAAAAAAAAAAAAAGGAAATAAAAAAAAAACACCCCCAAAAAAAAAAAAAAAAAAAAAACCAACAAAAAAAAAAACAAACCCCCCCAAAAAAAAAAAAAAAAAAAAAAAAAAAAAAAAAAAAAAAAAAACCCCCCAAAAAAAAAAACCCACACAGAAAAAAAAAAAAAAAAAAAAAAAAAAAAAAAAATAATTTTATTCTTGTTGATTTTTAGAAGCTTTGTTTTTTTTTCACTTAAGATCTCTTATTATGAGGCTGATTATTCAATTATTAAGATAAGGATAAACTTTAAGTTGTTAACATTGATCTCTCAAATATAGTGTTAGTTGAAAACATATTAAGAGTAAGAATACTATTTTTTTATCTCCTTTTTAAGAGAGTAAATGAACAAGACGTTAAGTTTTTGAAAGATTTATTAAAAATTGTGCTTCAACATTTTTTTTACGTTTTATTTTTTAAATTCATACGCAATGTTACGAAAGTCTAGCTGGTTTAAATCAGATGTAACGCTTATGTCCTACTAGAAGTACATCTAAATTAGCTACAATTGTACTTTATAAAGAACATAAGGAAAAGCTAGATTTTCCGGAGATCGATTTTTTTCACTATTTTTCCCTAAATACTTATGCTTTAAATAATAACCCATAGAAGTTTCATGTAAATACTTAAACTTTAGGCTTCCTGGTCGTCAGGAGGTTAAAAAGGAAAAAGCTCTTCTTGAAAGTCCCTAGGTCGAATCGGTCCGGAAAAATCGCCAATGGTAAACTACTCCCCAGCTAGGTCGTGCGTGGAAGAGAACTCCTAGTGAAACGTACAGTGGTGGACGGCCAAGCATCCAGATGTTGTGGATGGTATCGGGAGATTTGTCGCGTAGTGCGTTCATGAAATTTATCGGCTGGGATTACTCCGAACAATTCCTCAGAGCACTCCTCGTGGTAAATGCGAAAGACAATACAAATGGATGCAACATCTCTTCGCAGCGCCAGTGAATCGAGCAGATCGGAAAGCACTCGGTCAATTCGAGCCGGACGGAGCTTGCACTGGGGAGCCCCAGCTCAGAGATGGAAACAGTATTCCATGTGAGGTCGAACCTGCGCCTTGTAAAGTGGCAGGTGGTGTACTGGCATGAAATACTGTCCCGATCTGCTGAGCAAGCCAAGCTTTTTAGAGGCCAATTTGGCGTTCTCTTCCAAGTGACCACGAAATGCATGTCAGTGCCTTGAAAATGTGGCGATACGACAAAAGAGTTCTTTTTAGCAGTAAACGCGCAAACTTGTATCTTCTGAAGGTTAAACTGGACTAGATTTAGTCGCTCCCAATCCGAGACTTGTTCAGCAAAGACTCAACATCAGAAACAAGTTTGTCCCGTTACTCAGAGACATTTTCCCGAGAAATATTGAAACGGCCGGTGTAAAGAGTATTACCAGTGCTCTCATCCACATAGCAATGAATGTTATCGGTTTGCAACATATCATTGATATGCAGAAGAAACAGCGTCGGCGAAGAAAATGCAGCCTTCCGTAACGCCAGTATTAATAGAATTGCAATCGAAGCATGCATCGTCAACAACTAACTTGATGCTGCGATCTGCAAGAAAGCTGGTGATCCAATTGCACATTTTCTCAAGCCCAATAGGAAGGGAGCTTCGAAAGAAGTGCTTTATGCCAAACCGATCGAAGGCCTTCGCAATGTCCAAACTAACGGCCAGTGCATTCCCCTTGGACTCAACTGCCTCCACCCATCAATGAGTCAGGTAGACCAGAAGATGACCAGTTGATCGACCCCAACGAAAACCGTATTGGCGATCACTAATCAGCTAGTGATCCTCAAGATACCGCATGAGCTGGCAGTTTCTGATGGATTCCATTATTTTGGAGAACAAGGAGGTGATGGCGATAGGCCTGTAGTATGACGGATCTGAGCGATCGCCTTTTTTAGAGATCGGGTTGGCGAAAGTCGCCTTTCATGAATTTGGGACTACGCCTAGGGAGTAGGAGTAGCTGAAAAGACGCGTTAGAACCGGAGCCAACTCTGGAGCACACATCCTCAGCAAAATTGGGGGGATTCCGTTAGTCCCACTCGACTTGTGGATGTCCAGGGAGAGGAGTGCTTTACGAACCGAGCGTCCGGCATGGAGCACTCGCGCCGCGAGATTGTCGGCGGTGTGCTCCCCCCGTCATCGAGAGTCGAGTTGGACGCAGAGAAAGAGCCTAGCAGATCGGCTTTCTCCTTTGCGGCATTGGCCAGTGAATCGTCCTCCCTGTGCAGAGGTGGAAGGGATGGCTGACTGAAATTCCGCTGGAGAACCTTGGCGAGAGACCAGAATCCCGTGCATTCTGGTCTCCAGAGGGAAGGCGAAGACTTTGTCTTGGCAATGACTCTTTTGAAGGACCTGGAGGCGGAATTATACTCCTTTTTTAGGGCGTTGGTGTTTACATCCCAGAACGATCTAGCGTCAGCCCAGGCACGGTAGCACTCCTGCCTGGACGATAACAGAAAAAAACAGAAAAAAACCCACAGAAAGAACACCCAACTTTCCCTGGGGGGTTTTTATAGAATAAGGGTATCAAACAAGCACACAGTACACCCGATGGCAAATGCATACTGTGATCCACAGACTTGATTAAGAATCAAAATGCAGATGCGTTGTCACCCCTGAGGTCTAAGTTCAAATGCCTCGTTCCCAGTAAAAAGGATCTCCTGTTGTACACACTCACTATACGAAACATAGCAGTGTTAAGCTGGCATTTTACGATCGCAATCTGTAAGAGCGTGGTTATACCCCCAATCTCACCTCGATATTTAAACAGAAAACTATAAAAATTATACATATAAAGAAGCAAATAGTCCTTATAGTGATTTCAACTCGGATTAACTAACTAAAATACCAGGCAACGTATCATATGTTTCCCTTTTTATTTGTTACAGTTTGAAGTGTGTTTTCAATGCCTCTTGTGCATCCTGTGTTGATAATATCATCAATTGTAAAAATCACATAAATACCTGTATTAAATGGAGTTACATCAGATCACAAAGTTTTAAAAATCCTACTTAAGCTTAAAGATACTGTTACTGTTGTAATATTTTCTGTTGAGTACAGACCTTTCACCCAGAGCGAAATGGAACAATTCAAAAAGAATATTTTGAAATAAACTTTCTGAGTTATGCCTTTCTGGAAAGATCTCAATGGAAATTTTTACACTTGGATTTCATGCAATCTTTAGCGAAGTTAATAAATTTTTTACTAATATTGTACAAATATTTAAAAATTACGAGCTATATATAGTAAAAGATAAAAGGCAATTAATAAAATATTTTATCAGTAGTTCTTTTAAGAAACATTGTATGAAAGCTAAAGCTGATAATTTGCGAGATGAAATTAAACTTTCTACAAAAAAAAACTGAAACCTTATGGAATTCCATTAATTTGGATAGTGACAAACTTAACAAAAACATTTACAATCAGGTCATTCAGAATCATCTCTCTATGAGCATGTAGTCGATATTCTTTATTTAATTTTAAACACATTGTTTATACAAATATTATTAAAGCGAGTAGGAACCTAAAAAAAAAGAAAACAGGAGATCTATGAGGATCAATCTGGATAATCGGTATAAATATAAGTGATATAGCTCCAATGTCGGTGACGATTTTTAATATCTTTGTTGACTTTGGATTCTGTTATTATCAAAAGAAATACATAAAGTTTGGTCCTATATTTAAATCAGGCAGAAGAGAAAACGCTACAAATTATCATCCCGTTTCGCGAATCTGTGTAGATTATGACGTTTATATTACGAGCTTTAAGTTAAGCAAGCCTAAATTGATTAAAAGTTTTTACTTTGAATTTGATTCATATGTTAAAATAACCATCTCTTTTTGAATATCCTTTTCTAACTTTTTTAACTCTCGGGGATGTTTTTACACTGGTGAGTGTGACAAACGAGCACACATTCCTCCTGATGTATTTTAAGCACATATGCGGTGAGATCGTGGTTAACGGAATAACCTTATAACATTGGAAATTTATAAAATAACAGTATGAAAGTTATTAAATAAATTAAGAATGAGTTCTGACTTTACGATTTTGTTTAAAACTTCAAGTACAAAATTCATAGGACCAATAACTTTAGATGTATTTAAATTCTTAGCCCGGAGAAAGCAATAAATGTAACATGTTAAAGGTTTCATAAATATTCATAGCCGTTGTTTCATGAAACACAGCGATATATCATTACCGTAAATTATTCATGATTTTGTTATTAGACGTTTCAAACGGAACCTTAGTCAGTTGACGCATATAAATTTAGGTTGTGGCGACTGTAACCGTTCTTTGAATATAAAATACGAGTAACGATTTCCCTGACGAGCTAGCATATATACAAAGGTGCTTTTTTAATTTTATACGTCCTCCGTTCGTAGCTGTTTTGTCTTTCCTAAAAATATACCTGTGACAAGGATATGTATAAAGTTTTTATATGACATGACACCGCTTGCTTCTTTTTTACCCATTTATTCGATATAGACCTTTAAAACAGTGCGCTAACCAGCTAGCAAAGCCTAAAAAAATTGAGTATTATTACTAAATCACTTACCATATACGACAGAGGAGAAATTATTAAGTGATATAAGTTTTCAGCGGGCAACGTATCGATCAGCTGTTCGTAGAATACGCTATGGAGTTCGCTCACCCACAGCCCCACATGCCTCTTTCGTGCCCGGCGATGACACCATTCCTAATGCGAGCGGCTTGGCTAAAAATACGTTTGTGAATGAATGAAACCCGCCGATTCTAACAATTCTGAAGCCACG